AGGTGGTTGTCCATCCGTCCTGATTGCGGTTTCGGTCCGTTCTCAGGTCACGGCGTGACCTTTTTTGTTGTTGCGTCATTTGATCCTTGAGTGGCATTGGCGTGTACACGTGATTCAGTTCAATGGGCCTGTTGATTGAGGAGTGCCAAGCTTCGAGAAATTCTCTGGCGTGTTTTGACCGGGCTTGGTCGATAATTTTCACTGAAACGGTCAAACTGATGTCCTTCTTGATCTTCGTGGAGGGAAATCAACGGTAGTGGGTCATGCCTCCTGACTGCCGATTGGTGTTCACAGGTCCTTGTTGACAGTTTTCTCTGTTTGTCCAGTATAGTGTTTCGAACAGTTCTTGCAGTTTATTTTGTAGATGACGCCGCTCTTGTTCTTCTCCATTGTCCTCTCCTTGGGTTTTAACAGAAGTCCCCTTAGACAGGCGATCGGTTTGTGGGTGACTTGGATTCCATACGATCTGAGCAGTCTTGCTATCATTTCCGAAACGTCCTTGATGTACGGCAGGGTCGTTCCCGTTCCCGATTCTCCGTCTGTTGTTTCCTTCTTTCTTTTAGCCAGAGTTCCTTTGATGAAGTTGCGGGGGTAACCATTGCGAGCGAACACTTTGAGGAGGTATCTATCTTCTTTCTTCTTGAATATGTCGGTGCTGCAGTGCGTTGGGATTCTGCCGAACAGGGTTTTAACACAGCATCTTTTGTGGCTGTGTGGATGATTACTTTTGAAGTTTAGGATTTGATCTGTATGTGTTGCCTTGCGGTAGACCGTTGTCTCCAGTTCTCATGATAGCGTTCACATGATCAAGATGACCAAAAATGCCAATTGTTTATTCTTCTCGGTCTCCATAGTGAACTTGATGCCATTGAATGTGTTACTGATAATGTTGTACGTTCGTTCTCGTTCCGACTTCTTCAAGATGACGAATGTGTCATCAACGTTTCGAAGCCAAAGTTTTGGCATCANGCATCATTCTTGTTAGTACCTTCATCTCCAGATTTTTCCCTCAGTTGCAAGATTCGTGTCAATTATAATCGAAAAGTGAAAATGTGCAATATACACAGCTGCAGGTTTAGGCTGAAGGCGAACTTCTGAGCTTCACTGTGCTTTATATAGGCATGAACAGCGTTTACGCAAGTCAACAGCGATGGTATGATGCGTTTCGGGCAGGTAACTTGGTTATAGCCAAAATACACAGAAATATGTTGACAGTGTCGGATCGAAGCCTGACGTGGTAAAAAAAGGAAGCCAATGACCTCCGTCAGTTCCAAGAGAAGAATCCGCAATGGCTTCGTATCTCAATATTTGGTTAGCGTATGAACGACATTGTTACCCGGGAATCACGAGTCATAATCCCCACGGCAGTGCGCTGTGTGTGGCGCATATGGCTTTTGATAACCAATGCCTCCAAAGATAATTACTTGTCGTGGTCAGGGAATTCGAGAAGTATAGTGTATGATCAACATGGAATCTACTGCACCTCAGCGGTTTTATATCATGATTTGCATTGTACATGCAGACACGGTAACTCTTATTTACAAGGATTTGATTGATGTATGTGCCTGTAGAAACGCATTTATAAAAACGTCATTATCTATAAAGAACCGAGAGTACAATAGGAATTAGTCCGTCTCACCAATCCAGTTGACACCCTATAAGATACTGCAGAAGGGAACAGTGTACCACTTAGGTCATAGCTATATCTACAGATCAGTCTCCGGAATGGTATGTGATCCCCCGGAAGGGGGGCAGTGTGCGAAGCGGCGAACCGACTCAACAAACCTGGAGTAGAATAGGTAACTGCGTAGCCGGGGGCTGTTTCTCATCCGCAGTCTGCAGCCAAACCTTGAAAGCAGTCATCTGGCTGGTAAAAAACGAAGCTGGTCCACTTCCGCCGATAACCGAGCCTGCGCTGACCGGGGCGATAGTCGCACCGGTAGGACCCGAGACTGCGTTCGATGGGAGCATTTGGGTCTGCGACTGAGGAGGCACAGATTGTACCGGTTGAGTTGTAGTAGTGGTGGTGGTTGGTACAGTTGCCGTTGATGGAACCACAGTGGCAGTGTTCACGTGTTCCACACCAGTCGGAGCAGCTGGACCGGTTGTCCAGGTAGGTTGAGGCACTGGTGTCTGTCGCAACTGTTGTGGTTGTGGCAACAGTTGATGTTGCTGGACCTGCTTTTGCAGTTCTTGCGACGCTTGTGGTTGTTGCTTTTGTGTCGATGGCGGTTCGACTTTCGGTTGCGGTCGTGGAGGGCAAACAGGACGTTCCGAGGGAGCCGGCGCGGCCGCGTGTGGCTGTGGTTTCGAGTTGATCGGAGCCACCAACAAAGGAGTGACCGCTTGTCCTTGTAATGTGTATAAATGCTCCATCCCGTGTCGCTGCCGACGAAGTGGAGCGAGCTTTCGCGTTTGTTCAATGGGTCTCGTATCGTCCGTTCTAGGGGGCTGCACATTGGTGGGTGCATCTGTTTTGGGCTGCGATGAAAAACAGTGTAAAAACAAATGGGACCGGATGAGTGGAAATTAGATAAATACATCAGAATAAACTCCGATGAGAAAATTGCAGGACTCCGCTCAAAAATACTGTGATAGATAAGAGAAAACGCGATCCAAATCAATGAACATCTATAATAATATCGGAAACATACTTTCCTTTGATCTATTTGAATGAAATCAGGAACACAATATGAGCAGAACTGATATTGGCCATCAATTTTGCGTGCTCTTAATTGACGAATTTTTTACTCCGTTAGCTGTTTACGTCTGTTCAAATGCATTTCTGGTCATATCTTTTTCGTATTACGTAACCACGTTCAACTCCCTTTCCAACACTGTTAATCGTTTTCCATTACGTAACTGTTTCTATGCTAACATTCCCTTCCTCCACTTTCACCCATACCCGAATGACTCAAACACCCAGTGCCTTCTGCCTGAACCGATGTGATTATTTAAATGTCCATATATGGTATTCTTATAATAAAATTCGATCTATAATAATAATTTGTAGGCTGGCAAGGTAAACACTAGTACTTATGAACACCGACTTTTGATAATTCAATCCTCGTTCAGGTAAATAGTAAGTACATCGATCGACTTTTGTGAGAGACAGCCCAGTCCCTTGGGTGGAACCCATCAACCATGAGGTATACTCGGCATCAACTGACAACAGATTACTTTGTACGACAGAGAAGAAAATAGAGCAAGTAATGCTTTTTATCATCTGGCTAACTGGATGAGACGGAATCAATAGATGATTCACCGAAATTCGGAACAGGAGAAAGCGCCCCTAATTTTCTGTCATTCCTGTATTCTATGTGAGTCAGATACGAAATTGAAGTAGTCGAAAGCAGTGTAAACCGTAGCTATAGGCTATATTTTTCCAAAAATAGTTTAAACATTTGGAAGAATGAGCAACTTCAGAATTGCTTACAGTTCACCGTGGGTCCTAACCGATTTGATTCCTCAAAGCGAATTCAACTGCGAAATACATTGAGCTCAAAGTACTGATATGACCGGAACAAACATGCTGTGCGATATTGGGACCGGGATGATGTACTTATTTTCTCGTGTCGCAAACGATAATAGAAGAAACAGGCAGTACATAAACAGTTAATCAGTAGGATACCGAACACACAAAGCATGCATACGCGGGACACGCTGGCTTGGTACGAGGAAAGATACATGAGGCGATGTCGGTTCGACACGGGAAAGTAAACATCGCAGAAAAACTGCACTATGCATACACGAAAATCGTAAGGAGACACGAGCAGGTAGCAACTGCTGTTCAGTGCCAACTACCTTTACAATTCATGTATGATTTGTCCTCTACACGACGAAAGTCCCCATATAAAGGAATCAAGGAACTCACAAAGGACGAAAGCCACAACTAAATACATTGGAAGATCATAACTATACCGAGTGTTGATGTTGGACCATAACTTCGGGTTGGGAATGGTGTCTGGAAACATTTTATAGTCAAACTAACCAACGTCAGCGGACCGCGACTTCGGATTCATTTTCAGTCTATCTGGATTCATTGAGTGTCAATTCCCGGATCAGAGTTAGTCTCATTGAGTATCTGGGATCCCGCACTGGCACTTATCTAGG